GAGTTTGGGAATTTGGAAATTTGGGAATTTGGGAATTTGAGAATTTGGGAATTTAGGAATTTGGGAATTTGGAAATTTGGAAATTTGGGAATTTGGGAACTTAGGAGTTGGGGCATTAGGGAAGTGGGGTACCTAGGAATTTGGGGAGATGAGAATTTGGGGACTTTGGAATTGGGGAATTTGTGAATTTGGGGAGTTGAAAAGTTGGGGCGTTTAGAATTTGGGGCGTTTGGAATTTGGGAAGTTTAGAATTTGGGAAGCTTGGTATTTGGGGAGATGAGAATTTGGACGTGTGAACATTTGGGGATCTTGGAATTGGGGAATTTGGGAATTTAGGGTGTTTAGAATTTGGGGCGTTTGGAATTTGGGGAATTTAGAATTTCGGAAGCTTGGGATTTGGGAAGTTTAGAATTTCGGAAGCTTGGAATTTGGGGAGATGAGAATTTGGGTGTGTGGATATTTGGGGATCTTGGAATTGGGGAATCTAGGAATTTGGAAATTTCGGAATGTGGGAATTTGGGAATTATTGAAAATTAATTAATTTAGATATTAGTCTAACTTCACATATTAGTATAATGACAGACATCAATCTAAATCATCCACTTCTTTAAATAGTACTTATCTCACATTTTTCAACACAATACACTTCAAAGTAAAATAAATATTTTTGTTCAAAATTTATTAAAATTTAAAGGAAGTATCATTTCCTAAAATTGATTTCAAACATAAGAAAAACAGGCTTAATTAAAATATTAATTAAAGTACAAACGCACTGTTATTAAAACTAGAAAGTTACTTAAAAATTGCATACAAAATTCTAAGAAGAGATAATTGTTGTTAAAAATGAAAGTAAAAAATAATTACTTCGATAACATGAAAGTCGAACTTTCATTTCATTCCGCGGAAAGAATGGAATCGCGACACGTAATATCTATAAATGTGTTCTTTTCTTGCTTTCTGTAGAAAAAAAAACTCGTAAATGGATTTTCCTGGTGATTATCAGCCATCGATCACAGTAATTGAGCCGTCTGATTGTCTAAGAATGCCACGTAACGCTTTCTTTGTGTTCATCAGAGTTAACTGGTATTAATCGTTTAAAGCATGTCGGAAGTTTTCGTATTTATTGTATAAATAAATTTCAACGAAACTGTTTATTTGTACATAAATGAATCTTAATAATTTAAATCAATTATTTTTTTGTTTATATAATAATATTTATGTAGGATATATTTTGTTACTGTGCAGTTCTGTTATTTTACAATTATATGATATTCTATTTCTTTTGAGCTATTTTTATTATTTTACTATAGTTTACCATTTTTGCATTTTTATTATTTTGACTGTTATTACTCTTTTTAAAATTCTTAGTGTTTGTAATAATTTTGCAATTTTTGCCATTTTTGCTATTTTTGTTAGTTTTGTAATTTTTGCTATTTTACTATTCTTGTTATTATTACTATTTTTACTTTTTATTCTACTTTTTCACTATTTCTCCTATTATTCAACTCCTATTCCCAAATCTATAGAACTCAAAATAGCTAAATTTTCAAATCTGTAGGTTTCCAAATTTTTGAATCCTCAAATCCCTACATCTTCAAGTATCCATATTCTCAAATAGCTACATTTTTAAATTTGGAAATTTCGAAATACCTACATCCCCAAATTCCTACATTCCCAATTAGCTGAATTTCCAAATTTCTAAATTCTGGAGTGCTTATGTCCCTAAATTCCTACATCCCCAAATAGCTAAATTTCTAAATCCCGAAATACCTACATCCCTAAATCCCTACTTCCCCAAATAGCAAAATTTCCAAATTTCTAAATCCTGAAATACCTACATCCCTAAATCCCTACTTCCCCAAATAGCAAAATTTCCAAATTTCTAAATCCTGGAGTACCTATGTCCCTAAATCCCTACATTCCCAAATAGAAAAATTTCCAAATTTCTAAATCCTGAAATACCTACATCCCTAAATCCCTACTTCCCCAAATATAAAAATTTCCAAATTTCTAAATCCCGAATTACTTACATCCCTAAATCCCTACTTCCCCAAATAACAAAATTTCCAAATTTCTAAATCCCGAAGTACCTACATCCCTAAATCCCTACTTCCCCAAATAGCAAAATTTCCAAATTTCTAAATCCTGGAGTACCTATGTCCCTAAATCCCGACTTCCCCAAACATAAAAATTTCCAAATTTCTAAATCCCGAAGTACCTACATCCCTAAATCCCTACTTCCCCAAATAGCAAAATTTCCAAATTTCTAAATCCTGAAATACCTACATCCCTAAATCCCTACTTCCCCAAATAGCAAAATTTCCAAATTTCTAAATCCTGGAGTACCTATGTCCCTAAATCCCGACTTCCCCAAACATAAAAATTTCCAAATTTCTAAATCCCGAATTACTTACATCCCTAAATCCCGACTTCCCCAAACATAAAAATTTCCAAATTTCTAAATCCCGAATTACTTACATCCCTAAATCCCTACTTCCCCAAATAACAAAATTTCCAAAATTTCTAAATCCCCAAGTTCCCAAATAGCAAAATTCCCAAAATGCCTACACCTCTAAATCCCTACATCCCCAAATACCCATATCCCCAAAATTTTAAATATTGAACTCCCCAAATCTCCAAATCCCCAAATTCCCAAACCCCCAAATCTTTTCTATTCCCAAATCCCTAAATCTCTAAATTTCTAAACTTCCTTACCTCCAAATTTTGAAACTTCCAAAAATCCCTAAAAGAAAATTGTTTCTTTCACATATATACCTGATATAGTCAAAGCAAGAGACGCAAAAATTCGAATACCTCCCGGCAAGGCTACCAGCACCAGTTACTGGTACACATAAAGTAGTCGGCCCCTAAGTGCAATTTCTTTGGAAGTCGAGTCGCTAAGTAGCGTGAACCAGTATTGGTCAGACCTTGGCGACTTCATAACTACTGAAAATGATCCACTTTAGCGCGTCGACTGACAGTAGAAATAGTCGTGTGTAATACGGCACGCTTTAAGTAGATATTCCCATGATCTCTTTTTAGACGGAAGAAAGTAACTCATAAAATAGTGTGGAGTACTATATGTACTAATAAACATTGAGTACAATACCGGTTATGTGTGAAATTTAAAATTGGGGACGTGTGAATTTTGAAAAACTAACTAGAGAAAGGGCTAGTCAATGAGCTATAAAATTTTATTATACACTAGAAATTTTTTGATTGTTTGTAATAATATTTTGTTCACTTAAGTCCTTATGAGAATTGAAACATATACATGTTTTTTTTAATCAAGGTGTGTTAATGTACTTCTTTCTCCTTGGTACATAAAATTATTAGGTATTTTATTTTACATTGTTAATTTTAAAGTAACAGTATTTGAGACTGTTTTAATATTTCAATTTTATGTTTTGCATTATTAATATAATTTTAACATAATAGTATTTGACACTGTTGTAATATTTTATTTGTTTTACATTATTAATTTACAATAGTACTTGACGCTGTTCTAATATTTCAATTTTTCATTTTACATTGCTAATACAATTTTAGTATAATAATATTTGATACTGTTCCAATGTTTCAATTCTTTGTTTTGCATTATTAATATAATTTTAATATAATAGTATTTGACACTGCTCTAATGTTTCAATTCTTTGTTTTGCATTATTAATATAATTTTAATATAATAATATTTGATACTGTTCCAATGTTTCAATTCTTTGTTTTGCATTATTAATATAATTTTAATATAATAGTATTTGACGCTGCTCTAATGTTTCACTTCTTTGTTTTGCATTATTAATATTATTTTAATATAATAGTATTTGATGCTGCTCTAATGTTCCACTTCTTTGCTTTACATTATTAATATAATTTTAATATAATAGTACTTGATGTTGCACTAATGTTTTAGTTCTTTGTTTTACATTAGTAATATAGTTTTAATATAATAATATTTGACATTGTTCTAATGTTTCAGTTCTTTGATTTACATTATTAATATAACTTTAATATAATAGTATCTCATGCTGCACTAATGTTTTAGTTTTTTGTTCTACATTAGTAATATAGTTTTAATATAATGATATTTGACACTGTTTTAATGTTTTAGTTTTTTATTTTACATTATTAATATAATTTTAATATAACAGTATATGACCCTCTTCTAATGTCTCAATTTTTTATTTTACATTATTAATTTAAATTTAATATAATTTAATTGTCCTAATGTCTCAATTTCTTAATTACTTAACCCAAATAAATTCATAATACCGATCACCGGTGAACGCATTAATACATGTAAAATATAGAGGAAAAGCAAATTGTAATCATCGACGTTTTCATTGCCACGCATTTGCGTACAAATGCATCTAATACGTCGTAAAGGTAGCGATTTGATTTCTTGATTAAATAAGGGGAATTCAGACGAATCATACAACTTTCCGAGTAATAAATTCTAATTACGAGCATTCTCAGCCATGAAAAACAAAGTGGCATAATTTCATTTAACTGTTCATTATTTCAAGGAAAACAATCGTTTGTTTTTGAATATAAAGTGTAGTTATGCTAAGTAGTCTATTTTTAACGTTACGTTATGTACTGAGATATTTTAATGTGTAATTCTTCAGTTAAACAACATTTAATTTATAATTTTTCAAGTTAAACGTCGATAATTAATCCGCGATCGTTGAAAATAATTATATCATTGAAAAATTATTTGTTTCAAAACAAATTTCTACTTACAAACATTTTAATGTGTAATTCTTTAATTGAAAAGTACTTACTTTATCATTTTTTTGTTAATCAATATGCTTTTGTTCATTTGTTCGTTTGTACCACGCTACAAATTTTGAGGTTATAATCATGAGGCAATCCATTTGCTGTACAGATTTTGGCGGGAATCTGACGACAGGACTTGTCATTAGCATCGATCCGTGTTTTCGTATCGTTTTCGATCATTTCTAAAACATAAAGTCGACTATACACATAAAACATAACCTAATCACGTTGAAATCTCTATAACTCATTACAATATTGAAAACAGTACTTGGTAATCTTTGACGTCTGTCGTAAAATCAACCAAACTTGTGATTGGTATTCATTTTCGATAGTTCCAGATACGTATAATCGTTTGGAACGACTTTGAAATCTCTACATCTCATTCTTGTTCTACCGACATATTTACTGTAGGAACTATTCGACTAAGATAGTGTGAACGGAGTGAAAATAAAACGCGGGATACATTAACTGATTAAATTTATTAGTTTATTCTAACACGTTGTTCTCCGGTGTAAACATAATGCGAGACTGGCCGGCCGACTGCCGCGCAGCTCGTTTCGGCACGAGTGCAGCCGAAATTGCACGACTGCATCCGAATCACCCGGCACACAGTAAAACACAAAAAAGAATAGAAATCGAAACGCACTAAATTATTTATTCTTAATAGCTATTCTTTTTAAACACATATTCGGCACGTTTAATCGTTAAACGACTTTGAAATCTCTACATATTCTTGTCCAACCTATAACAGTAGGTACTTGATACCTTAAATTAAATACACATTCGAATTCGCGTGACGCCTGATCTGCAAACTACTTCAAAGGAAATAGTATTGCACCCATTTCTAATTCACTATACCTGAACATTGTATAAATAACGCATAAGTTCTAGCTTCTTAGTTTTTCTGTTGATAGAAAGTAATTGTAAAAGCAAAGATTGATAGAAATCATGCGTGAACATGCGCGGTGAAATTTTCACAGTCAGCAGAAAAATCATTGCGTTCTGTCTTTGTATCCGCAGGAGAAACGAAATATTAACTGTTTGCCTGCTTCAACATAAAAATTTCGTTATTTAATTTCGTGATTAATGCGACATTTACTTCATTTGTACATTCTTGTCACACTGTGGCAGGATTATTAATGTTGTTGGTATGAATAATTAATTCGCTTTTTATTTGCTCGTAAATCGCTTGTTTTCATTTATTCATTGATAATTAAATATGCATTTATAAAACGGGAAGCGGTCAAGAATGTTTCAGCGAAAGTTATATGGAATTGAATAAAAGATGAGATTATTAAGGATTTCGCAGAATTTTTAATTGTTTATTAATTGTTAAATAGACATAAATGATAAACTCCACCTTATAAAATTTTTAACTGAAATTTTAGTATTTAAGTAAAAGGTATTCATTATTGCAAATATTGCTGCAAATGATTTTAGTTTAATTCTAAAAATAATTGTGTGAAATAGATTGTATATTTGCAGCACGTAATAGTTCTAGAAGCTTCCGTTTGCAAGATTTAAAAATGGCGCGAAACATGTTAGTTTTCAATTTTAACCTTTTTGTTGCATAATTATTTTAATTAAATATAATACATTTCTAATTTTTAAAAGTAATAAATACTGATAAGAAGTTAATAGTAAATAAACATTTTTTACTAAGGAAGTTAATAAAAATAATATCGTGTTACAAATTTACAATATTTCTAATATAAATATTATAATTATAAAAGACAGGAAATTTTTGCAATAATGTTATTAATTGAACAAGCGGTAACTATTTAATATTTGCAAAAATTTTCCAACATCTATGTTGTTAAAATAAAATTTTAAATTTACATACCGCCAACGTCGAAAGTTTCTTGAAAATTCCTATTTCTCCATAGAAAACCAAATAAATGTACTGCACGTCGTAATGTACACAGAAGCTGAAGCACTGAAACGTTTATATCTCCATAACAAAGCTTCCAGTAGCAAAGTAGCTGAAGAACATTTCAACTTCTTTCAACGCAAAGTTTCCATTCACACATTTCTTAGAATACTCTGTAAATCGCTTCGGGTGCGATAAATCCACAGATTATCGCGAATAGAACAAACACAATTCCGCGAAATGATCATCCATCTATCGCAGAAAACTACTTTGTGCGAGCATAGCATTTAACCATGGCCGTTCAACGAACCACGGAGTTCCATTTGCCAAACCACTCATTTTTCTTCTCTACTTTGTCGACGAGTTTGAAAATTTCCTGTCACGATCAACGACGGAACCGAGGATGCAAGAACCGAACAGAGACACTCGAAGGACGTTGCCCTCGTCTAAGGATGCCTGTGTTTACAACTGTGCTGGATTCACGGTAGAACGAGCACGTGCATTATTAGGTTACTAATAGTCGTAACATTCATTATGTAGGACAGTAACCGTAACACGGTTGCATGCATAAACGTGTACACTGACTAAGTCAGCGGGATAATAAGATTCGCGGTAAATGGACGATAGTGATAAATCGGTTAACTTCGTTCCTCTTCGGCGCTGCTCGGTGTCACGTGATACGTCTGACGGTCGAAATCGTAGACGTATATGGTCGAAATGTCAAAATGCAGTCGAGGATGATAGAGGTTATTATGGAAAGGACGTGAATATATAAATAGATTAAAGGTTAACATCTTAAATGAATAAAAATAAACACAGAAGATACGCTTCTTTCCTTAAGAATACATTAAAACTTCTGTACATCGTGTGGTGTGAAATGCAATAGTCGTATTCATGGTTTTGACTGTTCACTGTTTCTGTTCTTTTTACAATTTTCACAATCGACGAAAAAACTCATGATTTCAATTTTATTTGCACTTTAATAAATCTCAATTTATCTTTAACACAATTTACACAAAAGTTTGCGATAATCACTTAGGCTTTTGACACAAACTCAACGGTTAGCCGACATGGACCGAATGCATCCGGAAGCATCCGATTTACCATTACCGAACTTCTACCGCTTCTCCTGGAATCTTAAGGGTTTTTTCGTTCAAAGTTTACTTTATATTTCCTCTATGTAAGTCTATGGTTACATGGAGGATATCTAACCTACATCACTCTCACGCAATACATAAAGTGGAGTAATTATTTCCTTAATAAAATCATTTCTTATTTTTTCTTCACATACTGTGAAATACGTTTAGTATGATGTAGTATAGTGTTTTATATTTTTCAGAAATTCCTTACCAAACTGTTAGAAGAACCAATTGCGAAATTATTTAATCCAGAATATGTTAACAACACAAGTAAGACATATTCACAATATAATAAAAATATATAACAGTATAAAATTATGAATAAAGTAGGGATATACAAAAATGTAAAATTACCTAATAATTAAGATATATTAACATAATCAGAAACGAAGTATTCAAATTTGTATTATATCAAGTAAGTAGACAAAAGTGGAACAACGTTCTGACCAATCTTCTTATCACGATTTCGATAAAACTTCATTGACCGTAGAGAAAAAGGTAATCTCTCCGAGCAAACATAACCGTACTTTTCGAGAAACGAGAGTGGAACGTGTTACTTTCTCTCTCGAAACTGCGGGCCATGAAGTGCTCACTCTCCTTTATGCTGATATACGTGCAAACTCTTCAGAAACATGAACCAACTAGAAATAAATGAAAAAGAAAAATTACACGTTCGTACGAGGAACCGATGATATGTAAGCACGCAAAATTGTGACACGCTTAATAATAATCTCAATATGATTCCTGCTTTCACCGTTCCATAATTTCTAACGAGTGCCTTGATTCGATCTTGATATCTTAGCGATTATCCTAATGAAATACGGATGTCCAGGTACAAGTAGCGTAAAAGATTAGAAATTGAACACAATCTTGATACAAGCAAATATTTGTGGAACGATGTGATTACATTCTTAGCGGACATGAAATTGAAAGGGGTTTTTGTGGTATGTAGGTGACTCTCGTTATATGGCCGCGGACGGAACTGTGATATTCGCGACATTTTGTGTAATTATATTTATTATAATAATTAGTAAGAATTATTGGTTATATAATTCTTAACAATTAATATACAATTTTTAATAATTTCTAATAATTATTGGTGACAATAATTATATTAATTATGGGTCTCCTTATAACATAAGGGTTACAAGGAATACAAAATCTACTCTAAATACTGCTACTTATTTATTCTTCAATGGTTTAGGAAAACATTTAGTCGGTGACAATAAATACATACGCTTGTAAAAGCCTAGAGAAAGAAGGGACAAGGTCGTGAAGACTGTTGTGCAAATCAACAAGCGCGTAAAAACACGTCACTTTGTGTAACTGTGCTTTCCCAATTCACTGTCGTTATAGTTCGTTGACGATAACTGTTTTTAAATGCAACATTACCGTACTTAGATGCAATGTTGACTCTCGGTTAACACTTTATGAGACGTGGCTAAATTATATATTGACTGCCACAGTACAGCAGCAAATTTTATTAGACATTTTTATTTTTAATAAATCTTGTCAAATATACTTATTATTACATTTTGTTATACTTACTATAATAAATATAATTTTGTTACATTTAGTATTGTTCTTAATATTTTGTTATATTTGCCATATACTATTGTTCATAATATTTTATTATATTTGCTACATATTATTGTTCATAATATTTTGTTATATTTGCTACATACTATTGTTCACAATATTTTGTTGCATTTGCTATATATTATTATTCATTACATTTTGTTATATTTGCTATATACTATTGTTCATATTTTATCATATTTGTTATATGCTATTGTTTATAATATTTTGTCATATTTGCTATATATTATTGTTGTTAATATTTTGTTATATTTGCTATATACTATTATTCATAATATTTTATTATATTTGCTACATATTATTGTTCATAATATTTTGTTATATTTGCTATATACTATTGTTCATAATATTTTGTTATATTTGCTATATACTATTGTTCACAATATTTTGTTATATATACTATATGCTATTGTTCATAATATTTTGTTACATTTGCTATATACTATTGTTGATAATATTTTATTGCATTTGCTATATACTATTGTTCATAATATTTTGTTATATTTGCTATATGCTATCATTCATAATATTTTATTGTATTTGTTATATACTACTGTTTATAATTTTTATTATATTTGCTAATTGCAGTTCCAATTAACCTCAAACTCTAAGCTATAAAACATTGATAAACGAACGTATACTATTTTTTATTAAAAATTCACACAGACAATTTCTAAAGTATCTACTATTTCTGAAACAATCCGTACATAACTTGAGATTCTTCAGGCAGACAGGATGCTAAACTCGACGATGGCTCGACAGGTATGCGTTCGCTTGACATCATCCTCGTCGTTTGTTGAAAATGTGAAAGTAACAGCGCTACTGAAACGTCGAACGAAATCAGCTGCAAAAGTAGAAGGACAAAAAAAGAGAAAGAACAAGATCTAATAAGGTTAGACAGTCGGTAGCGGGT